GTCCAGGGTATTTTACGTAAATTTGTATGTACCATAATGCCAGTATTTTAATTGTCTTTCATGAATCGTTGGGCTGCGTTTGATTTCATGGGTTATCTCGGGCAAGTGGGTGTGTGGAGGGAGTCTTATGCTCACATTCAATTAACCTAAATATAAGGTGAATATCATGCCTAAACAATTTTCATGTCCCGCCCCATCCAGTCGAGACTAGCCCCTGAGCGATTGTGATTATGTCTCTGACGGCACACATACTGATGTGCCTGCCCTGTGGAATTTGTTTTACAGTGGCACATTATGTATATTATGGGTACATATTTTGCACGCTATTTCTAAAAATGATGTAATGTTTATCACGTTTTACGTTACGTACTCTGTGCCTTTCATGTAAATCAAACCCGTGAAGATCCGGGTTAGAATATTAATCTTCAGTAACAAAAGCTTGTCGTTAGAGGCGACTAACGGGATTGGGTGGTGGGGCTCGCTGACTTGGTTGACACACGTCATCGGTTCCCAATTGCGCAGATCGATGCTCAAGCTGTTGATCACTGGATTGTCTGGTTCATACTCGATTATTTACAGACCGCCGCCATATAGCTGTAATACTGCTGAGTACGGCGTAAAACTAAACTCACTCATTCAATTAAATTACTTTATCGTGTGTGAGTGAATTTAATTTTACGCCACTTTTAGCAATATTCCAGTAATATCACGACGGGATGACACAAGAATTGGGCTTCACACATTGTACCCATGTGAGGAATAGAACCCGGACTACGGCGTAACTAGGCTACCTCGCCGCCCAATCAAGTTTACACTGTCTCTCTCATAAGTCGCTGGGCGAATGCTCATAAAATTGTATCCTTTAGTAAGTTTGACCATATTGTATATGCGTGTATCTATGAGTGAGGTGGAATCTTCATCTAAACTTCTACAACCGCTTTGTTGTTAAAGTCCTCTTGTTACAGGCTTCACCCCCCAAAAAAATAAAAAATTAAAAAAAACTAAACTAAAAAAAACTAAATAAAATAAAATAAAATAAAAACATAAAAAAATAAAATAATACAAAATCATGTTACGTAATCATTAGCTATAAACCATACCCAACACAGTTGTAGATCGCTTGCGTGATGAAGGTACCTGCATCTGTACCAAAACATAGTACTTTGAGGTGCAGGTTAGAGTAAGTGAGTAACTATGGTGTTATGCCGTTTTGTTTTCTATATTCCAGTAAACAGGCTGCACACACTGTACTATTGTTGGGAATAGAACCCGGGTCTCCGGCATGACGAGCGTACGCTTCACCCACTCGTCTACCCGACCGTTAGTCTGAGCTGGAACTGACCTTGAGGAACCAGTGATTGTCGAAAGAGGCAACTCGGTTCACAGGTTCGCTAACGTATTTGCTGCATCGTTTCCCAAATGCGGAGATCAACGCTTATGATGTCAATCACTGGATTTGTACAGACTCGTTTAGTTCCAGATCGCCGTCATGTCTAGAATATTGATGAGTGCGGCGTTCAACAACGAACAAGATTGAGTGAGCGAGTTTAGCTTTACGCCGCTTTTAGCAATATTCCAGTAATATCACAGCGGGGGGACACCATAAATGGGCTTTTACACATGGTACCCACGTGGGGACTCGAACTCGGGTCTTCAGCGTGACGAGCGAAAGCCTTAACCACTAGGCTACCCCACCACCCCACAACAAACAAGAACAACAAAAAAGTACAAGGTGAAAGCTTTATCATAAATAACCTGACCGATGCGGTTCAGATATGTGTATACATTGGCCGGAGAATGAACGGAGTTATTATGAAATTGACATGAGTTTGAAGATGTAGATTTCAGACATGTATCTCCACGCTCTGATTCACTCACGTAATAACGAGGCAATGACAGCCTGTCAATCACACTGAAATGAAGGTTATTACATGCTCGGTTAATATGAGATTCTTATACACCGTGAGTCACGCAGACGTGGTATATCACAGAGTTATATAGAGGAGACATTTCACCTTCGTAGAAACAAGCTCCGATTATGACGATGCTGGTTATAAGGAATCCATTTCATGAGTAACTATAATGAACATCAGTCTTCAAGCAGGAGTTGATGTACTTACGTTGAACATATATACGCTATTACGACACCACGATCTCTGTAATCTAATTGATCTCAGGTAATGGGAAAGACCAATAAGCTCAACTGTTCAAGTAGCGAGTGGTTGGGTTTTAAATCCTCTCCAATATATACTATACAGACAAGTGAGTGAGTTCAGTTTTATGCCGCTTTTAGCAATATTTCAGCAACATTACGGTGGGGACACCAGAAATTGGCTTCACACATTGTACCCACGTGGGGAATCGAACCCGGGTCTTCGGCGTGACGAGTGAATGCTTTTACCACTAGGCTACCCACCGCCCCCAGCTCAAGTATATACCACACACTGGATACTACAAATTAATTATAGAAACAGTAAGTAAACAGAAGGAAGAATGAAAGCCCTGATGTAATAAGGAAGAAAAGGGATGAAGAAATTGGAAGAAAAAATCAGGTCTCGAAATTATGATGGACATTACGCTTGTTTTTTCATAATTCAGATTCTTCCATGTCTCGAGTGTCATTGAAGGATTGTGACAGTCTTAATTTGAAAATGATGTCATAAAGCACGTATACTGCGGCACACACTGTCTTCTTTGTTTAAATTTTAAAATTTCAACAACACTACGTTTTGAATAATAAAAAATGTCACCTGACACTGGGTGATGAGATGCATATGTCATAAGGACAAATAGACATTTATTGCTGAAAGCTCAAGAATATATATTTTAAAGGCTCGGTATATTTTTATTGGGATTTTGTAAACAAACATTCAGCATCCTGAGAAAGACCGTTAACATGTTGTATACACATGGCCCATGTATCAGCCACTGTGGGTAGCGCCAGGTTGACCCAGTTGACCCTTTTAAACTATTTGTTTCATATAGCCCCACTTGGCTCTTCACCATATTCACGAGTCACGTGGCAATCGTATTTTACAATGTTCAAATATGCTCTTCATTTAACAACTGGGAAAAAATTAAGACTTTTGACATTTGAGAAAGTTGAGGGATGGTATTCCAAACACGATGACATTTTAACCACCACACAACTGTAACGTGGAACTGAAACCCCAGCTCTGACTGAAGTGGTGTGGGGTTTGACATAACGTGACATTCTCTTGGATCATCTATGCTCTCACACTGGGATTGGAGCGGACGGGGTTTGGCCTTAAAGGTGGAGTCATTATTGGTTAAGCATGGCTTTGATCTAAAAACAGACTGGGTGTTGATTTGTAGACTAACATCAAGTCCCTTAAATGAAAATATTTACAGAAAAACGTTTTTTAAATGGTCTGAATAATATATATATTTGTAGCCTAACACCAAGTTAGAAACTGCAGTAATCTAGACTTGCATGGGCTGCATTGAATATATTCTGTGTGACAGACTAGTTGATTTCAAGAGTTTTAACTTACAGGGTATGGAATATAACGGTATCTTGGCCTGGCGTGTTTAATACCGGGGTCTTATCAGTTTGAAAGGAGTTTATTTAAACATCAGATAGGTCACACTACTGATATGAGAAAGAGTCAGAGGTTTTAATCAGCCCCAATGTTAGACTAGTCTCTGAAATGAACATATACTACTCACACTTTGCTAAGGATCACAAAAATTCCCAACTTTCATTAAACATAGATTAATAATTTGAAATTGTATCCATTTAAAACTAGATAAATAATGATATGGTAACCCCTCTTTAGGCAAACAGCCACTTTAATCTAACCTTATGCTCTTGATACATGAATTACCCTAACAAATGATTTTTTTTATGGCACCAATCAACCATTTTTCAAATCATGGAACGGGTCATTGACAAGTACACAACACCTGTCAATAACAGGTATCGGATCCACAAGATGCAGTGACATACTGAAACCTAGTATCCATGCTTACAATAAGCTCAGATATTTAAACCAAATTAGTTTTCTGTTGAATCAATGGTTTGATCCTTAGCAAAGTGTGAATAGTATCTTTTACAGAAAAAAGCTCATAGTAAAAAATCAAATATAATGAAAAGGAGCCCTGAGACGTTCTTCCTTTTCAGAAGCTGTGGAAATCCAGACTTGCCACATTTTCTAGACTTGCGTGAACTTTCTTGGATAAATTTGCTTCTGGGTGTGTATGACAGACTGCCCAGATTTGTCAGCACGTGTATAACTGCCCAAACTGTATGTGTACTCATACATAAAATGAGTTAGATCAGAGCCAAGAGGTTTGAATTTCTCTATGCTTCTCAAGTAGAGCTGAACATTTGGGAGTTTTATGAGGGTATATGTACATCGGGAGACTCAACTCAACTAGATTACAGCCAACTTGGTGTCATAATAAATGGGTTTTAGTTACTATCTACCATCCATCATAGCGCCGTTGATAAGTGACCAAAACACTATCACTTTTTCAATCAACTGTGTAAATAGAAACTAACAATAGTCTTTTGACAAATTGTAAGTGGTTATGCAAAATATTGTCAATAGCCACGAGGATACAGAAATGAAAGATGTTTTTTTTCAAAAGTGTTAACAAACATCCAACTTCAAGATTGAGTTGTCAATACACGCATAAAAAAAGGTATAATTGTTTTCAGAACAGCATTGCCATAGGGCTTATTTTGTTAAGAATGGTGTTTTCCATGTATTTTCACCTGTGCTCAGGAAATTAGAAATACATTAAATGTACTTGTTGTATTGTAAGCCATGGTTTGTTAAAAAGTACTAGTATTCCTTATTTCTCATGACCTACTTGTCCGGATATGCTTAAAAAATATGCAAGACCTCTCAAGAAAAGAAGAAAAAAAAAGAAATTAACTCATTTTTCGTTTTCCGCCTGAATCCAACTTCTTGCACCTTAGACCACCTGCGTGACCAAAATGGGGGTCATCCAGTACTTAAGAAACAAGTTGACTTATAAATTTGAACTGAAAGGGAATAACAACCTCAAAACTAACACATTAGTTCTGAAAAAGGTAACGAGAAACAGGAATCTATTCAACTGACCTTAAGACAGGAAAATAGGTGAAATGACTAATATAGGTGAAACACAAGAATTCTAAATTCTAAAGTCACAACCATACATGCTATATACATGATATATATGGGATATAAACATGGATATATTTGTCCACAACAATGTCATAAACTTTACGTCGTCATGTTAATCCACGTAGAAACGTATTGCATAATTGTGACATTATGAATATTCATGTCCATGGCGGAATGAGTATGCTACTAGGAAAACGTCTTGTATGACTCCACATATCACCTGTCTTGATGTTGTGTTATAAAACAGAAGGCACCTCGTGTGTGACGTTCAGACAGAATCCTCTTGGTATACACACAACCGGCTCTCTTTTCTATCGGTGTGGTATATCATTTTTGGCAACAAAGGCGACGGGTTTTCAGAAAAACGTTAATCCATTTCTCAACACAACTGTTTGAAATCGTGACCTAAGGCCGTGTTGACACATTCCGTATTAACAATAACTAATAACATGTCACTCTTTGTTCACACACTTTCATGGCGTTCGGCACGTCTCCGTAATAAAAGCATCCAATATTATAACCTACACACACCTTGTCTCAATATCCATTGACGGGTCCGTTTGTGTTCTGGTTAATGTCTGGTTTCAGTGCAAATTTGAATTTTCTTTCGTAAGGTGCGCCGTCATTGTTGAAACGGGGTATAAACACCTGCGATGCACCTGGAGAGTTGTCGCTTTCGTTAACTTTGTTGTCAACGTTCGTGTCTTTCTTCAACCCCACACCAATCTTTGTAGTCGTGTAGGTCTTCGCTTTGAACTCCATACATGTCTTAAACCACTTCCTACATTCGTCGATGTGATAATCCAGAAAACTCACAAAACACTTCTCCGGATGCTTTGGGTAGACTATCGTCGTTTCGGCAAAACGTTTCGGCTTTACTCTCGGTTCATAAAATGTTCTGCTCACAAATCTCTTCCGAGTCGAGTTTTTGTAGCAAATAAGAGTCTGCGCGAAATGCACGGGAGTCATGGCCGGCTCGAAGCACACCTTGTCATTGTAGCGTTTCATGGTAGCCAGGTCCAACACACTACCAACATACTTTTCTTCGTAATTGGGAACTTTCACAACGGCTACTGTCTCGGATATTTGTTCAGGGACCATTTTCGTGTCTGTCCTTAAATTGTCGAGCGACCGTCTCCCACTGTACTCCTCAACTCGTCTGCCCGAGCCGAGGTGGCTATTTTTAGCCTCGGGATCCGACCGAGCGACATTGTCATTCAGATAGGACTTGCCGAGAACCCGCCTCTGTGAAAACGCCTGTTGAATAGAAAGAAGATAACCTTAGCAGTTTTTTAACCCGCTACGTGAGTAAATCTCGAACAAAACATGCCCCAGGCAACACAATCATTGATTGATTGAGAGCCAACGTCACCAACTACGAGCAGACGACAGCACAACACGCGCTACCAGTAGCAGACGACATTTCGCTGGCTGTCCTGTACACTGTTTGACCCGTCGCTAGGACGGAGTAATTGGATTTAACAAGCAGTCGACCGTTATTGATGATAACAGTCACTTTTACAGTCGTCAATATACTGTCGTATATACCCGAGTACGTCCGTAATGTGTGCAGTAGTCAAACAAATGTAAACACCGTACCTCCGATATCTGCCACCTCGCCAGTTTTACCCTCCAACTGCGGGCCTTGCCTTTGAAGTTAGGTGTCATTCACTCAACTGAATGCTTTTCAAACTAGGTCCGATACCATTGTAATTCCTTTACGAGTGTTATCAATGGCCCTTTAAGAAGACGACAATTCAGGTTATGTGTGATTATGTGGTATTGTGGCATGCTACAATGGCGACGATGGTGTCTGGTTCATAAATATGTACATACCGCAGGTTTCAAGACAAACAAAACTGAAGTGACATAAACTCATGTGTTCCATTTATTGACATTCCAAGATGTTTGTCTTTGATTAAAATCAATTTTAATTACAAGTGAATATGAAATGAACCATGAACGCTAATGTATACTTATGTGAATATCTATGTGATAAATTGAACAAATTGAATTATTTATAATTTTCTAAATAATGTATGGACATTATATTACATTTTTATGTTTCATCTTAATATACAAAAAATGTATGAGTCAAACAGTTTGAACACCTCCTAAACTTCACCTTTATTGCTAAATTACGTGATATTATTTTGAGACATAAAACATCCCATATGATAATTAAATAGTGATGCATATAATAATTTATTAAGCATCGAAAATATTGACTAACATTTTGGTAACACGTTGGAAGAAAAGGGCAATAACCATTTCCATCAACTATAATTTAGTCCGTAAACTTCTCTTGGACTAAATCAGAATATACCCGTGAAGATCCGGGTTAGAATTGGTCTTCAGCAATCCATGCTTCTCGTAAGATGCGACTAACGGGATCGGGTGCAATGGTCAGGCTTACTGACTTGGTTGACACATGTCATCGTTTTCCAGTTTGTGTAGTTCAGTGGTCGTGCTGTTGATCACCGGATTGTCTGGTCCAGACTTGATCATTTACAGACCGCCGCCGTATAGCTTGGATATTGTTGAGTGCGGCGTTAAACAACAAACCAACAAACAAACAAACAAGATCGGTATAAAAAATATCTGTTAAAATATTTGCACTGTTTGCCCCATACTTGCCAGTTTTAAGCGTCTTGGTTTGCCTATTGTAATGATCTAGAAATACAAGTTTTAAGCATATAAATGTACCGATTCTAATCATCTATAATCGTCTGTTTTAAGAATCTAGATTTGGTTATATAAATCGTCAAGACTTGCCAAGCTTATGCATATACTTATGATTATCTAGAATGGTCAATTTCAATCACCTGGACGAGCACGGATGTGCATGCATGCACGTGTGTGCATATGTCTACTTTTTACTACTCCATCTTCCAAAGACGAGACGTGTCCAAACAAGACACATGTCCCATTCATGCTTCTGGCAGGTTATACTTGAATAGGCACTTTTAAAGCTCCAGCCAACTTGGATACCAAAATGCACATACACATATATAATATACATGACTCCGAACAGACCTGTCCTTTTGTTATCCCGTTAATACCGAGCACCAGGCAGAGTAACACGGAGTAGCATCTTTCAACGTGTTTTGATAAACGAGGCTGGGGGTCAAACCACAGACGGGGCGTTGGGGTAGCCTAGTGGTTACAGCGTTCGATCGTCACGCTGAAGGCCTGGGTTCGATTCCCCAAATGGGTACAATGTGTGAAGCCCATTGCTGGTGTTCCCTGCCGTGATATTGCTGGAATATTGCTAAAAGCGGCGGAAAACCAACCTCACTCACTCACTCAAACCGCAGACCTCCGGCTACCCCGGGCAGGCACTCTATCCGTTACGCTACGAAGAGTGTCAGACATGCTCAGAGACCTAGTATAAACACAAGGTAATATTATTTTTGTCGTTTATTTTGTAAGTTAAAGATTTTATTAAAGTAACATGACTCTGTTGTACCGCTTGACCTATTTTGACCATGTCTTGTGCAACACCAGGTACAAAGAAATAGAAACGAATGGGTTCTGTCGACCACTAGGTTGTTGTGCTCGAGTTTGGTTTTATGTGAATATAAAGCCTGAACTGTTGTTTTTTCCATGGTATTCTTCAAAACTGACACTGTTGGGAGAGAAATATTATTATTATCGTGTATTTTGTAAGTTAAAGTTATGAAGGTAAACATGACCGTTTTTGACCATGTCTTTTGCAACGCGAGGTACAAATGAAAAGAAACGAATGGGTTCAAAAACGAAACTTAAAATTTACAAAAACACCTGCTTTGGGTGTGTGTGTGTGGGTGTGTGTGTGTGTTTATTTTCCAAAGAATAAAGTAAATATTTTAAAAAGTGTTGCAAAAACACTACAGGTATTCTTTACAGCAGGCATTTTCCTTTATAGGTCAGTTTATTTTAAAGAATGAAATACACTTGACAATTTCCCGGGAGGGCTAAGAGGAACGAGACATTTATTCTCATCAGCCTAATATTGCCTTCTAGGGCGATAACATCGTCTACAGTGAATCTATTGTCATATAAGATCAATACTATCGATAGCAGGTTGAGATAATACGTAAACTGCTGCTACCCCCTCCGTCTGCTGGCAGGTGGTGTTATATGCGAGGACTTCAGCGTTAAAACGGGGGTTTATAGACATGTACCATCAAAGAAAATTCCGAAAAAAGATTTTGGTAAAATTTACTCGAGTTTCACATGAGACAGTTTGATATTTATAGTCTGATTCAATGATTTTTCATTCTGTTAAGTCTTATCATTCAAAGGTCTCACATTCTTGCCATCGATTCATGTCAATAAAATGATTTATGTTAGAGTTGAGGATATTTAATCACTATCAAAAGCCACATGGCTAAGCGTACAATATACAATAGGAATACGCTTTTGACATAGACAGGTTGGACATATTATACTTTAAAGTGAAATAATGTAACATACAATATATTATGAATTATGAAATTGTACATTGCCAATTATATTAAAGGTAAATATATAAAAGTCCAGCATGTATCTTAGCTAATTATGTCAATAATTCAACCTCTTTCTACAGTAATACCGAGCAATATATATAAGTACACAATGCTATTTAGAAAGTGGTTACTGAGAAAGTGTTATCTAAAATATAACTTTTAATGTATATAAGGTAGTGCATAATATATAAGGGCATATTTTCGGACCGTTTTCGAAGTGTAACATGTTTCATTTACATTTGGTAGCATAAACATTGGTTTTAATGGATAGAGAAACATCGACCCGTTAAGTCAACGCAGGTTCGATATTCGATAATTGTTACTGATATGTAAACATTGTCATGCATTCAGGTGTGTTAATGGGCATAATAACTATCAAAAGCATAGTGATTGAAAATGCAAGTAAATGTTGCAATAATCATAATGCCCTATGTAATTAGTTCTGTATTGTAGATTTTCCTCAATGTATGCATACCAATATGACAATTACAGTTTTGTCAACTACCCGACACAATCACGTGCCCTGCAATATTGTAATTTTTCAATTACAACGTCAGTAAACCCTGTCAGTCAGCACGGATACCTGGTGCAAAAAAACATTTGACACTTCCGGCACTGTAGATCCACGTGAATCTCGTGCATGCACGTGCAGCAGGGTGAGCGCACCCAGTCAGTCAGTAAGCACACGATCGGAACCTACCTGTTGGTTGAACGGCATCTTGTCGAGAAATGGCGGACAGGTGGTTTTATTTACCCGAGAATCGATATATATCGCCAGGATACGTCGGCGACCTAGTTCACAGTGAATCAATAGACTACTTGCAGTGCGGTACGCCTAGAAATATGATGCATAGCTCAGGTGTGGCGCGGATTAAACATTATATGATAGATTACGCATGAATTATACTATAATTTCATGCCGATGATTGGCGGTGTCAGTTTGAGTGACAGGTGTCAGGATATGACAATTATAGATTAACATCGGCCTTGTCATGTAGAGCTACAGACTGTAATTAATAGCTGACATTGATGTATACGTGGAAAATGATAAAAGTGGTTTCCATGTTTTCAGTGTGATTAATATTTGATAGTTTGACATCAAAGAACGTTGAAACAAAATCAAAGGAGTTGCGAATGTTTTAAGTGTTAATTTCATCCCAGCAATGACACGTCAACTCCTGGACTTCCCTCATTACGCCTCGGTATCTCCTTGGTGCTATCTATTAGATTCTGATTTGACAAATCGCTTCACGGAACTGAAGACATTCCAAAACAGTTCAAATAAATAGTTCAAAAATACACTTCTTATGAGAAAAGTCTCGGTTAATCTATATTTCATTACTTAAATATAAACAACCCCCCGTTTGGTTTAAAGTGAGTGAGTGAGTTTAGTTTTACGCCGCGTAATACAGCAATATCACGGCAGGGACTCCAGAAATGGGCTTCACATATTGTGCCCTTGTGGGGGATTGAACCCGGGTCTTCGACGTGACGAGTGAACGCTTTAACCACTAGGCTACCACACCGCCCCGTTTGGTTTAAACGAGAAACATAGCTAAGAACATTAAATGCATGGATCACTGAAAATCAGAGAACACCAGGTGTTCGCGACAGTTCGTCACTACATGACAGTCATATATTTTGTCAACTCAAAGGCTCATTTACCCAGACTTTCTCAAGGTCGCGTAAAGCCCCTGGCAGTATATGCGACAAAGGAAATGTTCAAAGATTATTTGCTCGGAGGCAGGACCAACTTGATGCATATTTACACTGCGAAGATTAAATCTTTTGAAGTGACAATTTTGTGTAAACAGTCGTCAACATACTTTGTAACCCGGGTTAGCAGGTATTCAGTTGAGTGTAACGGTTCAATATGTTGTGGTTTTCTCGGAGCTTCTCCCTACTGAGTGAATGCTGTTGGTTTAATGTCGCATTTACAATTGTCAGATGGATGTGGTGTGAGTGAGTTGGGTTTCACGGGGACACCAGAAATGGGCTTCACACACTGTGCCCATGTTGGGAATCGAACCCGGGTCTTCGGCGTGACGAGCGAACGCTTTAACCACTGGACTACCCCACCGCGCCAGATAGATGTGGAGGGCAGGTCCGAAGTGATAGTCACGACGATTACTACTTACTGAAACCCATCAACACAGCGATGGTACCTGCAAACCTTGAAACAGAATCCGGTCA